TGACTCTGGAGGTTGGTGGTCATCTCAATTTCTAAGCTGAGGAGCTGGCGTTGTTCGTAGACACTTCCAAGGTCATGTGGTCGGTATGACTGCACAGAGTGCCGTTACCTTCCCGCTGGAGCAGCATCTATTGATCTACTCACATTTGCATGTTTTTGAACTACTAGGTTGGCAGAAGCTGGGGCTTACAATGGGAGCTCACACCGCTGCCCAGATTTGAACCTGCAACCTTTTAGTTAGCAAGTTCAGCAGCTCAGCAGTTTAACCCACTGCGCCACGGAAGTCAAGGGCTCCCCCTATGACTTCCTCTCACATATTTTGTTCAAGACCTCAAATGTGGCATGAGTTTCTGTCCACTTTCTCTCCACATCAGAGTGGTTCCTCTTTAAGTATTTTAACTATACAGATATTGATGTTGAACTTTGCTCCTCCCTAATATTGTCAAATCTACCTTTAATGGGCCTCTGCCACCATAGGTTGTGGTGGATTTGGAAAATATTCGGCGTGTCCCCATTCTATTGTCAATTTCATTGTATCTCTTGTCACCTCCAATTATGGTCAATAGGCCTTTGGTACCTGCTAGGGTTTGGCTCCAGGACCCCCATGGATACCAACATCCATGGATGGTCAAGTCCCATTATATACAATGATGTAAAATTGTGTTCAATACAATGAACATACAATGGTAATTTTTTCCCGAAGTAGGAACTTGCCTCTATTCTTACCATATTACTTCAACGTGAAATCTAAGACTGTATCCCTCATCGATATGGGGATTGTAGTGTACTTTAATTATAATAGGATGAACTTCCTGACTGTGAGAGCTGTTCAACGGTGGAACTCTCTGCCCTGGACTGTGATGGTGCCTCCTTTGGAGGCTTTTAAAGAGAGGCATCTCTCGGCGGTGCTTTGAATGCAATTTTCCTACTTTTTGGCAGAATGGGGTTGGATTGGATGACCCACATGGTCTCTTCCAACTCAAGGATTCTATATGGGGAACTCTCAGGTAGTTTGCAAGTGCCTCCTCCCCATAGCTACCAAGACCTTTTATTTATTGGAAGCCTGTCTTTCCAGCCCTCCCTCCTCGCTTCACAGTGAACCACCCTGGAGAGAAAGACAATGGACAAAGCCGAAGCCATTGTGATGCCCAGATTTTGAGCTCGAGATACAAACCGGATACTCGGATACTCGGGAGGCAGCAAGGATGAATGCATGCTAAATTTGGACCTCAATAGAGTTCAAACAAAAGAAGAACTACAATATCTGAAGGCAGATCTTGTATGCAGCCAAAGTGAAATACATCAGTAGTTCACAAAAGAAGCTTTTCTTTATTGCCGGAAATAAAGTGGTGTCTTCAAAATATACTTTGTAGGAAAAATGCGACAATAATATTTAAAATCCAGTTCCTTGTTAAAATTCCAGTGTATAGTAGACTCCCTGTTTCAGTGCGCAAGAGCACTGCAGAAACCTGTACAATACATTTTACAATCAGCAGTAGAAGGGGTAATACATACATAATAGCACAGTCCAAATTACGAAAACGAGTCTTCTTTTGAGGACCAGCAAAGTCTTGCACATATATGTTGGTCCTGAACGTGGGAGAGAACAAATTGCTCGCTCTGCTGAGACATGAAGGTTGTAACCTGGGCACAAATCACACATTTCCCTCTTTTGCTGGCTTCATACAGTGGTTGTACTAACAGATAGAAGGGACCTGGAACACTTTGTACACAATAGGGAATGAAAATAGCAAATTACAGCCAAAAAAACCATAAAAATTCTTCAGGCCACTCGATGTGCATGAGAAGAATTTCCAATGAGCATCACCCTTGAACGGGGAATCGACATCTAATGTTTTCGTAAAGATTTTGGAAACGACCCGGTGACAACTTCATTGCCTTATCCAGAACTTGACATTGTTTTGCACAAGCCTCCCTGCATGTAAATGTTTCTAAACTCTTGGGCAAACTACAATTCTTTCCACTCTTGAACCGCTCTTGAAAGACGTGCAGGAGAACAAATACCCAATGCTCCCCAGTTGTTTGGGGGTACTGCTCTATCATCTTGACCATCAAGCTGAGTCTGATGTAGGATTTCAGTTTAATGTAATACAGTCCCTTAGCTTTCCAGTTGCCCCCTCCTACTGAATAGCTAGCATAAAAGAAGTCCTCTAAATATGGCTGGACTCTGCTTTCTTTACAACAGTGGTTCTCATCCTGTGGGTCTCCAGGTGTTTTGGCCTACAACTCCAAGAAATCCCAGCCAGTTTACCAGCTGTTAGGATTTCTAGGAGTTGAAGGCCAAAACATCTGGGGACACACAGGTTGAGACCCACTGCCTTGCAAGTTCCACCCATGAATGCTCATTTGCTAGTGAAAGGAGGACTTCCCCATCTTCATAATGGCACTTTGGGAATGTGAACTGCCATGTGTCTCTCAAACCTTTTAAGGCAAAGCGTGCCCAATTATGCCAACCATTCCTGACAAGAAGTGCCTTCAGGATTCTTCCGCCACATTGGTGGCCCTCTTCTAGACATGCTTGTTTCTCAAAGTCTTTCTAACACAGAGGACCAATATCTGTAATGCTGAGAGACTTGGTCTCTATCAGGACAACCTGTAGGATGAAGATACGGCTACACGGACCTAAACACCCATAAGGTTCCTGTCTGATTTTGGAGGCTAAGTAGGATCAGCTCTGGTGAGTACTGGGATGGGAACTACCATGTGCCCTAGGATGTATTTCAAAGAACTATCAGAATCATTCGTTGCCTAAGAAAACTATGAAATTCACGGCATTGTCATAAGTTGACAAGCATCTTGAAGGCATATATGGCCACCTTTCTCGGTGACAACACTCTGGCTCACCAGGCGGAGAAAGCGATGCTAAATTTCCTTCTCCCATCACTGACACAACAATTGCTCCGAAATGCTTAGTGCATGGCTTTGCCAGTGTTTAGGAGTCCGGCTATTCTGTCCTAATGACCGCTTTACTGTCACTGATTTGTGGTGGTGGAAGCCAATGTGACCTTTCTCTGCCTTAAAAAATTCTTGTATCTTCCCAAATCAGGATGACTCTCATAAACCTCCCTGCGAAATAAAGGAACGACCTGACATCCACCCATCCTGTTATCTCACTCTTTCCCTACTTTCGGACAACTCACAAAAAATCCCATTTTGGTGTCTTCTATTAATGTAGCTGAAAGGAATTTTATCACATTCTTCATCTTTCTCTTCTGAATAGGGACTGGGTTGGGTTGCCTTTTAGAGCAACTTCCCTTTGAAATATTTTTCTTGGCAAGCCGGATGAGAGAGAGATTCGCAACACTTTCCTGTATGGTATACAAGGAGACAGGAGGCAATGCCAAGCAATTCGGAAGAGGCAGGCTTGTGCCCTTGGTCGCCTGAAGGCTTTGCTGGGAAGGCCAAATAAGCAATCCTTAATCCTTATCAAATGCAATAATGAGGCTTAAGTCATCCTTGGAAAGGGATGCCGGACGCCTTGGTAGTTTTGGGCCGAGGCAGAATTTGCAAGTCTCCAGCAATACGTAAGATACTCTCTAGCCCTTCTGATGAAACAGCAAACAAATGTCCTGCTGTGTCTCCTTAGTAGACAATCCCATTTCTCTTACGCAGCCAGGAAAACGTGTCCTTGGAACAATCCTTTTGCACAGCAACAGCAGGCGAAGACGGGAAACAGGACAACACCCAGAGCCACAATTCTTACCATTAAAACAATACAGTACATATTTGAATCCTCCTTCTACTTGACTTGGGTTTTTTAAAGCTTTGTGGGCCTGTTTTCTGGCTCTTCTGCTTCTGAGTTTTGAATTTAACCAATGTGAACACAACATGCAAACTTCCTGATTTTCTAGTTTTATGGCGTGAGGGAAGCTGCCAGTCTGAAGCAACAAACACAACCAAGAGAATTATGTAATCACGAAAAATGTGAAAAGACTTTGTTGCGTGCTGCTTTCCAGCAAAACTTCCCTTTCTCTTTGCACTGTGATCCCAAAATACCCATGATTTCAAAGCAACAGGGACCAGGACTTCAGTCTTCCAGTGGGTAGATTTGACTTCTCTGTTTCCAAAGTGTGCAGTTTTCGAAAACCTCCTTGGCCTTCTGTGAACCACGAAAGGCTTTACATCAACTTCACCCAACTGTTGCCATTTGAGGGAGGCCTTGACATTGCATCAGGTTCCTTGTGTCTGATTCACAGAACGAGGAATCTATATTTGCCTCAGACTAACAGCTATACAGCATGAAAGTCACACGTGTAGGTGTCTGGGTGTGCACAATGAGCCATAGGCCATCAGTCACTCTGCCATTGTGCAATGGAGTTTCCCCTAAGTAATCTATATACTCATGTATAAGTCTAGAAATGTTAGTCAAAAACATGGGTCACTTGAACTTTTCCCTCTTCATGGAATCACTTTTGACTTATCCATGGATCATATCAGCCTGTAGAAGAGAAGGCTGAGAGGAGACATGATGGCCATGTATGAGGAGAAGTCATAGGGAGGAGGAGGGAGCTGTCCTGGAGGCTACGACATGGAGCAATGGCTTCAAATGACAGGAAAGGAGATTCCACCTGAACACGAGGAAGAACTTCCTCGCTGTAAGGAGAGCTGTTCAACAGTGGGACTTTCTCTCTGCCCTGGAGTGTGGTGGAGGCTCCTTCTTTGGAGGTTTTTAAGCAGAGGCTGGATGTCCATCTGTCAGGGGTGCTTTGAATGCGATTTTCCTGCTTCTTGGCAGAATGGGGTTGGACCGGATGGACCATAAGGTCTTTTCCAAATCTAGGATTCTATGATATTTTGTTGTTTATTCGTTCAATTACTTGTGGACCAGACCAAGACTGAGGTCCCTGTGGTGGCCACCACCCCAAGCTCCTTCAAGGTCAAGCCAGTCACTTCAAGAAGAACATCCATCCATCTTGCTCTTCCTTTTCCCTTCTCTTCCCCACAGCATCATTGTCTTCTCTAAACTTTCTTGTCTTCTCATTACATAACCAAAGTACATCATCTTTGCCTCTAATATCCTTCCCTCCAGTGAGCAGCCAGGCATTATTTCCTCCATGGAGTATGGACTGGTTGGATCTTCTCATGGTCCAAGGCATTCTCAGAATTTTCCTCCCAACACCACAGTCCATAATTCAGGCCCCCATACATGCCCTCAACTTATATATGAAGTTTTCATATACAACTTCAGGTGAATACAAACATTGAGAAAATACTCCATTCTATTTTCTTATAAAATCCACTTATAAAGACATAATTCTGATACTGAATTCCAACCCACTTTGAAAAAAATGTAACAGCAAAGGAGGGATTTGGGGTTTGCAACATACATAGGAGTTAAATCTGACTTCTTCTGTCTCAACCATAATTCCCAAATAAAATCACTGTGGCACCTATCCTCCGAAAAAAATGCTTGGGAGGGAAGAGTTTAAATTTTCCTTTCTGCCGTACTGGTGAAAGTTCCCTCCTCAGAAGTGGTTTCTACCCATGCAATGCATGTCATGACTTATGATTATATATACAGCGAAATGGGCCTATGGATTAGCCAGGCATCTCAAAGGCACAAAATCCTCTCCCTGTGTTTTTTGGAAAGCAAAAAGTAGCTGATATTGCTGTAGGTTTTGAAAAAAAGAGTCTTTTAAAAAATTAAATATCACAGCAAATTATTTTGGGGGCACATTAAATGAATTTATACTGATTTGGCCCCAACACTTGTTTGGGAGGAAACAACTTAACCTTGGACAGATCTGCAGCAGAATGGAAGATCATGTTTGCTGTTCATCGCACATGATTCCTGTCCGCAGGCAACTCCATCCTCCCAGATGTGAAACAAAATGAAGCCACCAACTGGCTGTTTCATCAGTTAAATTTTCTCTGGGTTTCCTGGGATTTTCTCCCCAAATTGATCCAAGAGAATGGCAGAACATCAGGGTCCTGCTGGGTGAAGACTAGAGGCTGGATGGCCATCTGTCAGGAGTGGTTTGAATGCAATTTTCCTGCTTCTTGGCAGAATGGGGTTGGACTGGATGGCCCATGAGGTCTCTTCCAACACTTGGATTCTATGATTCTCTTCTCTTCTACTCAATCTTGGGCTAGTTGGGATTCTACAGAAACATACTAGTAGGCCATGAGTAACCTCAACTTCTCTTCCATGTTCTCCAAGAACTGATACACAGGTTCATGATGGAAGTAAAAGGTAGCCACCCTGACTCAAAATCACTGGTGACTGCTGTAACCTTTCTCCACCTCTGGGTTGTTGTGAGTTTTCTGAGCTGTATGGCCATGTTCCAGAAACATTCCCTCTTGATGTTTCAGACCTCACAACCTCTGAGGATGCATGCCACAGATGCAGGTGAAATGTCAGGAGAAAATGTTTCTGGATCATGGCCATACAGCTCGGAAAACTCACAACAACCCAGTGATTCCAGCCATGAAAGCCTTCAGCAAGACACTTCTCTACCTCCATCTAAATCAGTGGTTCTCAGCCCATGGGTCCTCAACTATTTTGGCCTACAACTTTCAGAAATCCCAGCCAGATTACCAGCTGATTTCTGGTTGAAGGCCAAAACATCTGGGGACCCACAAGTTGAGAACCACTGATCTAAATCCATCCCAATGAGCAGCCACCAGTTTCAAGCACATAGATAGAAAGGTCCTCCTTTCTGTCTCTCCTGAATCTCTCGCCATCTACCTTCAGCAGATGATCCTGAGTTCTAGTATTATGAGATGCAGAATTGCTTCTCCCTGCCATGCATAATTTTACATCTCTCTTCTAATCTCTCCACTTATTTGACTTCAGAGAAATAGACCCCAATACTGTAACCTTATAGAGCCAATGTGCTACCATGGTTTGAGTGTTGGATTAGGACCCTGGTTCAAGTTGTCTCTCAGCCACGGAAATCCGTTGGGTAGCTTTGGGTCAAGTCACACTCCCTCATCCCACAAGGAAGGCAATGGCAAACCTCCTCGGAAGAAAAATTGCCAAGGCAGGTTTAGCTTTGGATTGCCATAAGTAAGAAACAACTTGAAGGCACACAATAACAATTACAACCTTTGCTCGTAGGTCGGTTGCTCCATTCTCTTAGTCCTTAATTCTGCCCTCCTTCTGCAACCCTAATGACCTACATCTAGACATATTCAAAGGTTCCTGAAGGTGTCAAAAGCCATCACTCTGGTTATGTGTGCACTAACTCTTCAGATTGTGACATTTTGCATATAAGGTTAAGTTTTGCATAATGCGCCCAGGTCCCACCTAACCGAAGGAAGCCCTGACCTCCATCCCCAAAAACTCCTTCCGTTTGCTGGGATTCCTTTCCTTCTCTCTGCAGGGAACAGCCTTCAATCGATGGCAGGAAAGACAGCCTCCCGGTGGGTTGTGCCAATCCATCCGCGTCCCTTTGCATCCACAAAAAAGCCCTTTTTAACCCTTCTTCTCTGGTTTGGATTGTTCAGCGCTGAACTTTCCTGACAATCCTAACCAACGTTTAAATAGGAGGCACTGTCTTCAATATATATATATATCTATACACACATACACATAAAATTTTGCTGGGAAAGCCAATGAGGTTTACGAACAAAACGAAATCGGCCACGGCGGACGCCCATCGTGAAGCTTTCTTCCTTTCCGTGTCGGCACTTGTGGCTGCAAGTTTTGAGTCTTCCATTTTTGAAATTTCAATTATTATTATTTTTTTGCTTAGTATGCAGTTCCTCCTCTTCCTCTCTCCTCTCCAACTCCCTCTCTCTTGGATTACAAATGCGTGTCCTCTTCCTCCTCCAGGTCCTCTTTCGTCAGGCTGTCCATGGGGACGATCCAGCTGTCGGCAAGCTCCCCGTTCAGGTTCACCTTCTTCTCTTGCATTTCAGCCGAGGTCTCCATCACCTCCAGCGTCGGATTGTCGTGGTAGCCGTTCTCCATCGTTTGGAGCTCTTCCGTCAGGCGCTGCTGTGAAACGGAGAGGAAGGAGTATTTAAAAACTCTAAAATCAGGGCAGTAAATAAAGAACAACACTTAGAAAACAGGGGAATTCCAGGCAAGGTGATTGATTGATTGATTGATTGATTGATTGATTGATTGATTTCAGACATTTGTATCCTGTCCTATCTCGACCACTGCAGAGAGACTCAGGGCGGCTAACAAACCGGCACCCCATGTTGCCCATAACCAAAACATACATATACAATTTAAATAACAATGTAGCAATAAAACAGTATAAAACAATCTCAGCCTATCAGCCCACCAGGACCCTAAGATCTTCTGGAGAGTCCCTGCTCTCTATCCCACCGGCTTCACAAGTGCGGCTGGCGGGAACGAGAGACAGGGCCTTTTCTGTGGTGGCCCCTCGGCTTTGGAACACCCTCCCTATAGATGTACGATCAGCCTCTTCGCTGATGGTGTTTCGGAAGAGATTAAAAACATGGTTGTGTAAACAAGCATTCGGTTAGTTTGTTATCACCGAATTTTATGGACTAAGGACTGGTTAATTATGGATGACGAATTCTGCACTGTGATTTTAGTGACGAGATACATGGTATTATTATTGGTGGCCCAATAATTTGTATTGTCTATGTGTTGTTGTTTTAAATTGTATATTGTTTTTAATTGTTGTAAACCGCAATGAGTCGCCGACTTAGGCTGAGATATTAGCGGTATACAAGTGTATTAAATAAATAAATAAATAAATAAATTATCAGGGCCAGCTAACACCTTCCAATAAAGGATCCCCTCCTCCAGGCAGGAAGGAGCCAGGCGTTGAAGCGGCAAGACCATGCAATGCTAATCAAGGTTATTTATTTGTCGTGTCAGAGCAACCAGTCCATTATATTACATTTCTAACAGAACAAAGCAAACAAACAGACAAAATACAAAACTTGTGAGTTTAGTTGATGAAATGTCCTTTGACCAGTATCTGGCCACTTGGAGTGCCTGGTGTTGCTGCAAGAAGGTCCTCCATTGTGCATGTGGCAGGGCTCAGGTTGCATTGCAGCAGGTGGTCAGTGGTTTGCTCTTCTCCGCACTCGCATGTCGTGGATTCCACTTTGTAGCCCCATTTCTTGAGGTTGGCTCTGCATCTCGTGGTGTCAGAGCGCAGTCTGTTCAGTGCCTTCCAAGTCGCCCAGTCTTCTGTATGCCCGGGAGGGAGTCTCTCATTTGGTATCAGCCATTGATTGAGGTTCTGGGTTTGAGCCTGCCACTTTTGGACTCTCGCTTGCTGGGGTGTTCCAGCGAGTGTCTCTGTAGATCTTAGAAAACTATTTCGTGATTTAAGTCATTGACATGCTGGCTGATACCCAAACAGGGGATGAGCTGGAGATGTCTCTGCCTTGGTCCTTTCACTATTGGCTGCTACTTCCCGGCGGATGTCAGGTGGTGCAATACCGGCTAGCAGTGTAATTTCTCCAGTGGTGTAGGGCGCAGACACCCCGTGATAATGTGGCATGTCTCATTAAGAGCCACATCCACTGTTTTAGCGTGGTGAGATGTGTTCCACACTGGGCATGCATACTCAGCAGCAGAGTAGCATAGCACAAGGGCAGATGTCTTCACTGTGTCTGGTTGTGATCCCCAGGTTGTGCCAGTCAGCTTTCGTATGATGTTGTTTCTAGCGCCCACTTTTTGCTTGATGTTCAGGCAGTGCTTCTTGTAGGTCAGAGCACGGTCCAGAGTGACTCCCAGGTATTTGGGTGTGCTGCAATGCTCCAGTGGGATTCCTTCCCAGGTGATCCTCAGAGCTCGGGATGCTTAGAATCATCAAGGTGGCCAATTACAACACTAACTACACAGATAGCTATGAATGCAGTGAAAATGTATAAACATGTCCCGTTGCTATAAACTTCAGAAAAAATACCAATTAGAATAATAATGAGAATACCAAACTAACCAGTATGGCAAACAAAACACATAGGAACTGTTTACAACGGTGTAACAAACATAATATTCATGTTAGAATGTTTTCAAAATAACTAAGTAGTGTGGATTTTTTTTTTTTTTGTCGTGTCAGGAGTGATTTGAGAAACTGCAAGGGCGTTGCTCAGGGGACGCCCAGATGATTTGATGTTTTTATTATCCTTGTGGGAGGCTTCTCTCATGTCCCCACATGAGGAGCTGGAGCTGATAGAGGGAGCTCATCTGCCTTTCCCCGGATTTGAACCTGCGACCTGTCGGTCTTCAGTCCTGCCGGCACAGGGGTTTAACCCACTGCCACTGGGGGCTCCATGCCCTCATGAAGCTGGCATGTTAAATGGCCTCTGTGTGTCTGTCTATAAATGTTGTGTGTGTATGGCATTGAATGTTTGCTATGTATATGTACATTGTAATCCACCCTGAGTCCCCTGTGGGGTGAGAAGGGTGGGATATAAATACTGTAAATAAATAAGTATTTATTACACTTTTTGCCGGAGGATTTTTAGTTTTCCAAATTGGGAAATTCCCATAGTGCACACTTCTACAAATATAATGGTTACCTGGTCCTTCCTCCGGGAAATGCGCTGGTGGCAACAGCCGTAGATGGCGGCCACGAGGAGGAGAGAGGCCGCCATGCAGACGATGGTGATGATCAAAGGCAGGCTGAAGGGGTCGTCCCCATTGTCCAGGGGTTTCCCACCATAGGTCAAGTTGGTCAGGCCAAGCTGTTGGAAGACCACAGAATGAATGGGAAGGAGCAAAAGAGTGACCAAAGCACCGATTATGACCTCTAAAGCAGTGGTTCTCAACCTGTGGGTCTCCAGATGTTTTGGCCTTCAAGCCCTCCCCCCCCCCCGTCACCTGTGGGTCCCCGGATGTTTTGGCCTTCAACTCCCAGAATCCCTGGGATTTCTGGAGTTGTAGGCCAAAACATCTGGAGACCCACAGGTTGAGAACCACTACTCTAAAGCCTCAGCTTTGAGTTGGGACTCAAAAGAGCAAAACATCCAGAGATCACCCACAGTGGGTTTAGGAATGGGGGATACATTGAGAATGGTTGCCCTCGGTCCCAGCTTACCTTCTCCAGTTCTCCAATGATCAGAGATTCTGATAATTTATCATCCTCCGAGTGTGCTAAGAGAAAGAGAAAGAGAAAAACAACTGAGAGGCATGAGCAGTTGAAGGGGAAAATGAAGAGGGCTGAGGCTGTTAGGAATGGTGGGAGTTGAAGTCCAAAACACCTGGAAGGAGGGCCCAAGTTGGCCCATGCCTGCCATATATTTTGAGAGCCAGCTGTATTGTTGTAGGTTTTTTCGGGCTATATGGCCATGTTCTAGAGGCATTCTCTCCTGACATTTCGCCTGCATCTATGGCAAGCATTCTCAGAGGTAGTGAGGTCTGTTGGAACTAGGAGGAAGGGTTTATATATCTGTGGAATGACCAGGGTGGGACAAAGGACTCTTGTCTGCTGGAGCTAGGTGTGAATGTTTCAACTGACCACCTTGATTAGCATATAATGGCCTGACAGTGCCTGGAGCAAACTTTTGTTGAGAGGTGATTCGATGTCCTTGTTTGTTTCCTCTCTGTTGTACTGTTGTAATTTTAGAGTTTTTTAATACTGGTAGCCAGATTTTGTTCATTTTCATGGTTTCCTTCTTTCTGTTGAAATTGTCCACATGCTTGTGGATTTCAATGGCTTCTCTGTGTAGTCTGACATGGTGGTTGTGAGAGTGGTCCAGCATTTCTGTGTTCTCAAATAATATGCTGTGTCCAGGTTGGTCCATCAGGTGCTCTGCTATGGCTGACTTCTCTGGTTGAAGTAGTCTGCAGTGCCTTTCATGTTCCTTGATGCGTGTCTGGGCAAGGCTGCGTTTGGTGGTCCCTATGTAGACTTGTCCACAGCTGCATGGTACACGGTAGACTCCTGCAGAGGTGAGAGGATCCCTCTTGTCCTTTGCTGAACGTAGCATTTGTTGGATTTTCTTGGTGGGTCTGTAGATAGTTTGTGTGTTGTGTTTCCTCATCAGCTTCCCTATGCGGTCAGTGGTTCCCTTGATGTATGGCAAGAACACTTTTCTTCTGGGTGGATCTTTGTCTTGACTCTCGTTGCTTGTTCTTGGTCTTGCAAACTATCTCCAGACCCACCAAGAAAATCCAACAAATGCTACGTTCAGCAAAGGACAAGAGGGATCCTCTCACCTCTGCAGGAGTCTACCGTATACCATGCAGCTGTGGACAAGTCTACATAGGGACCACCAACGCAGCAGCAGCACCCAGACACGCATCAAGGAACATGAAAGGCACTGCAGACAAATTCAACCAGAAAAGTCAGCCATAGCAGAGCATCGGATGAACCAACCTGGACACAGCATTTCATTTGAGAACACAGCAATGCTGGTCCACTCTCACAACCACCATGTCAGACTACACAGAGAAGCCATTGAAATCCATAAGCATGTGGAAAATTTCAACAGAAAGGAGGAAACCATGAAAATGAACAAAATCTGACTAGAAGTATTAAAAAATCTCTAAAATCCCAACAGTGCAACAACAGAGAGGAAACAAACAAGGACATCTAATCACCTCTCAACAAAAGATTGCTCCAGGCACTGCCAGGCAATCAAATGCTAATCAAGGTGGTCAGTTGAAACATTCACACCTAGCTCCAGCAGAGAAGTCTTTGCCCCACCCCAGTCATTCCACAGATATATAAACCCATTTCCTACTTCCAACAGACCTCACTACCTATGGGGATGCTCGCCATAGTTGCAGGCGAAACGTCAGGAGAAATGCCTCTAGAACATGGCCCTATAGCCCGAAAAAAACCTACAAGAACCCAGTGATTCCGGCCATGAAAGCCTTCGACAATACATTAGCCAGCTGCATATTCCAAAATGTGGCTGACCACAAGGGGGCAGCAGAGGACAGGTATAAAAGCCTCCCTGGGAAAAACAACCATTTGCCACCTGTTGCAAAGAGAAAGGAGAGTAACTCCACCGCTACTCTATGTACAAAAGCTAACCTTTCTCAACCTGTTGCTCTCTTTTAAGAGACAAAAAGCTTGTCTGGAATTCCCTTGGTTATTTTTAGTGTTGTCTTTATTTACTGTCCTGATTTTAGCATTTTTTTAAATACTAGTAGCCAGATTTTGTTCATTTTCGTAGTTTCCTTTCTGTTGAAATTGTTCAAAAAATGAACAAAATATGGCTACAAGTGTTAACCAATCAGAACAGTAAATAATGTGCAAGACTCAAAAAGCAAGGGAATTCCAGGCAAGAATCAATCAGGGCCAGCTAACCCCTCCCAACAAAGGATTTCCCCAGGTATCAACCAACCATGCCTTGAAACTGCAAGCCATTAAATGCTGACCAAGGTGACAAATTGCAACATTCACACCTAACTCCAACAGACAAGAGTTCTTTCTCCCACCCTGGATATATAAAACCAATTTTCCTAGTTTTCCACACAACCTCTGAGGACGCCTGCCATAGAGGTAGGCAAAACGTCAGGAGAGAATGCTTCCGGAACATGACAATACAGCCTGGAAAACTCACAGCATCTCCTGGTTTGGTTTCCCAATAAATTATATGTGTTTATATCCTGCTTTCATCTCTTTATCAGTTCTTTTATGAATGTATTCGTTTATCTCCTCTGTTGTGCCCACTTTGTCTTTGGGTTATTGGTCCAAAAACCAATCCAAAGTGCAAAAATAGTTTGCAGTCCCATATACTGTCAGGAGTCAATTTCTGAAGGCATGAAGACATCACAAATTCCCTCCATGACATCCTGACTGAATCATCCTGGCTGAATCAATTCTCTCTCTGTGACATTTTGAAGCCAGCAAGGGGTGCTGGAAACCTTGTATTGGAACTTGTGAAGCAACAAGCTCTAATAAGGAAACTGAGAAGAGGGGGAGATGGGCAGGAAAGGTGTATAAAAGGAAGTGGTGGTGGGAAAAAGTCAGTAGTGTCTTTCTTTGCTGCAGAGATACAAGCAATATATCCATTTCAAAGCAAAACCGGCTTGTGAGTGGTTATTTAATATTGCTATATAGATCCTACAGCAGTGGTTCTCAACCTTCCTAATGCCGCGACCCCTTAGTAAAGGTCCTCATGTTGTGGTGACCCCCAACCATAATGTTATTTTCGTTGGTACTTCATAACTGTAATTTTGCTACTGTTATGAATTGTCATATAAATATCTGATATGCAGGATGTATTTTCAGTCACTGGACCAAATTTGGCACAAATACCCGATACGCCCAAATTTGAATACTGGTGGGGTTGGGGGTGATTGATTTTGTCATTTGGTAATGCTGGAGTTACTGGGATTTATAGTTCACCTAAAATCAAATCACCTTCTGAATTCCATCAATGATGGAATTGAATCAGACATGGCACACAGAATTCCCATGACCAAGATAAATACTGGGAAGGTCTGGTGGACATTGACCTTGAGTTTTTGGAGTTGTAGTTCACCTACATCCAGAGAGCACTGTGGACTCAAACAATGATGGATCTAGACTGAACTTGGCACAAATACTCAATATACCCAAATGTGAACACTGGTGTAGTTTGGGGAAAATACACTTGCCATTTGGGAGTTGTAGTTGCTGGGATTTATAGTTCACCTACAATCAAAGAGCATTCTGAACTATACTAATGGGACCAAACTTTCCACACAAAACCTCCATGACCAACAGAAAATACTATGTTTTCTGATGGTCTTTGGTGACCCCTCTGACACCCCCTTGCGACCCCCAGAGGGGTCCCGACCCCCAGGTTGAGAAACACTGTCCTACAGTTTGCACTTACTCTGAAACGATTCCCAAGACAAAGCAAGCAAAGCACAGGTTTGGAAGTTCTCAGGTGTAAACCCAAGTGCCCTTGATGTTGCGTAAGATGCTTACTTGTCACAGACACGCGGAGGACGGCCAGTTTTTTGGGGTCGTCGGAAATGGAGGCGAAGCTCCCTGTGCAATCATCTCGGCTCCTGTTGAAGCTGGACTTCACGGCCCGGCAGAGTTCGTGCAGGAGAGGCTCTTTGAGCAGGCTCCCTTCGAGGCTGCTCTGCAGGAGGGAAAAACAAACACTCGTCCTGGTCAGGGCTTCTCTCATGGCAACCTGTCTGGCTCACAAAAAACCCCATGAACCCCTTTTCCCAACATTCAATGACAGCCTTCAAAGTGCCAGAGAATGCAATGTCATGAGATGAGACATCTCCAGGTAAATACAGAGCAGTTACAAATGAGTAATTGCAGGTTGTGTACATATACCTGCAGAACCTGTAATTTACAGTTCCACTTACCCATGCTTGGGTGGAATTTGTGAGGTCCTCCAGGGGATCTCTATAGTCTGCTTCCTCCTCCTGAGGTTATTAAAGAATTGCCCTGGAAGACCTCACCAGTTCCCAGAGAAGATTACTGGACTAGAAGGACCTTGTGGTCTCTTTTCAGTTCTGTGAATCTCGAGAATAGATTTATTTATCGAGTCATCAGCAACCAGGCAATTATATTACATTTCTAACAGAACAAAGCAAACAAACAGACAAAATACAAAATGTGTGAGTTTGGTAGTTGATTAAATGTCCTTTGACCAGTATCTGGCCACTTGGAGTGCCTGGTGTTGCTGCAAGAAGGTCCTCCATCGTGCATGTGGCAGGGCTCAGGTTGCATTGCAGCAGGTGGTCAGTGGTTTGCTCCTGTCCACACTCGCATGTTGAGGATTCTACTTTGTAGCCCCATTTCTTGAAGGTTGGCTCTGCATCTCGTGGTGCCAGAGCGCAGTCTGTTCAGCATCTTCCAAGTTGCCCAGTGTGTGCCCAGGGGGGGAGTCTCTCATTTGGTATCAGCCATTGATTCAGGTTCTGCCACTTTTAGACTCTTGCTTGCTGAGGTGTTCCAGCGAGTGTCTCTGTAGATGTTAGAAAACTATTTCTAGATTTAAGATGTTAGCATGCTGGATGATATCTGAACAGGGGATGGGCCGGAGATGTCACTGCCTTGGTCCTTTCACTATTGGTTGCTACTTCCCGGTGAATGTCAGGTGGTGCAATACCGGCTAAACAGTGTAGTTTCTCCAGTGGTGTAGGGCGCAGACACCCCGTGATAATGCGGCATGTCTCATTAAGAGCCACATCTACTGTTTTAGTGTGGTGAGATGTGTTCCACACTGGGCATGTGTACTCAGCAGCACAATCCCTCGTTGGCCGAGTAGGATAGTCTTCCAGGATCAGTATTCTTGTGGATCCGTAGGTGACTGTGGAGCCCTATTCTTGACCTGCATCTTCTCCCACAGTGAGGGCATTGGTTTCCAGGTGGAAGGCGGTCTCGGTCGGGGTTGGCTTGATGCGCCTTCCTCTTGGCACGTTTCTCTCTTTCACCCTCAATTCGTGCCTCTTCAAATTCTGCAGCACTGCTGGTCACAGCTGACCTCCAGCTGGAGCGCTCAAGGGCCAGGGCTTCCCAGTTCTCAGTGTCTATGCCAGAGTTTTTAAGGTTGGCTTTGAGCCCATCTTTAAATCTCTTTTCCTGCCCGCCAACATTCTGTTTTCCATTCTTGAGTTCAGAGTAGAGCAACTGCTTTGGGAGACGGTGGTTGGGCATCCGGACAGTGTGTGGCCAGTCCAGCGGAGTTGATGGCGGAGGACCATCACTTCAATGCTGGTGGTCTTTGCTTCTTCAAGCATGCGGACATTTGTCTGCTTGTCTTCCCAACAGATTTTTAGGATTTTTCGGAGGCAACGCTGATGGAATTGTTCTAAGAGTAGCGTGTGATGTCTGTAGATAGTTCACGTCTCGCAGGCTTATAGCAGGGTTGGGAGGATAATAGCCTTATAAACAAGCATCTTGGTATCCCTATGCATGTCCCGGTCCTCAAACACTCTCTGCTTCGTTTGGAAAAATGCTGCACTCACGGAGCTCAGGAAGTGTTGTATTTCAGTGTCGATGTTGACTTTTGTGGAGAAGTGGCTGTCAAGGGAGTGGAAATGGTCAACATTTTCTTATGTTTCACACCGCCATCTCTTCACTTGCTCGTAGGATCGCGCCACCTTACCCGCTCATGGTCAACATATCTTTAATGCGTTGCCGTACCACGCTTTACATGCTGTGCTCATTTCCGGCCATATGGCCGAGGGGTTGGCTGGTGTCTGCTCGAGCAGCACTTTGGTTTTCTCGATGTCCAATGACAGGTTGAACTTCTTGTATGCTTCTGCAAAGGTGTTTAGAGTGGCTTGTAGATCTTCTTCTGAATGTGCACAGACGACGTTGTCATCAGCATACTGTAGTTCTATAAACTCCAAGGATTCCAAGCTGTAAGAGTTATTAATGTCATGAGAAGGTTGAGGGTTTGGGGGAGAAAAAACATTCTCCAACTTGCATCCCAAAGGAAGATTTACTTCCTAGGGATATATATTATTCTTCCATTTCCATCCACAGGCTGTCTGACCCGGGCGATGGGGAGTGAAAGTCATAAAGTCACCTCTATTTAAAATTCGGTTTTGGACCACGTCCTGGCCATGACATCCCTAGCGTTCTTTATCACGAGGCCGCAGCTTGGAGAGAATTACAGGAATAGCAACTCCCAGGAGGCCCTGTCATGGAGCAAAGGAGGGGCCGCTTCCTTGCTCCCCGCAATATTCACAAAGGTCACGTTACCAAAAAAAGAGACACAGGAGAGGGCGTGGGCTGGAATCACAATAAAGCCGGGCTTTTCCTTTTTCTTTAGCGGCACGTTAACGGCTTCACTTTGAGTAAGACGATGTTTCAAAATAATCCTGATGATATGAGGGTTGAATGAAAAGTAATGCCTCCACCTTCGTAACTTCTCAACAGATGGCAGTACTGCTATGCGGCAGGTACTGGCTTGATCAGTAGACTCTCCTCTACAGTTCCATTTTGGGGAGAAGCCTTAGAATCATAGAATCATAGAATCAAAGAGTTGGAAGAGACCTCATGGGCCATCCAGTCCAACCCCCTGCCAAGAAGCAGGAATATTGCATTCAAATCACCCCTGACAGATGGCCATCCAGCCTCTGTTTAAAAGCTTCCAAAGAAGGAGCCTCCACCACACTCCGGGGCAGAGAGTTCCACTGCTGAACGGCTCTCACAGTCAGGAAGTTCTTCCTCATGTTCAGATGGAATCTCCTCTCTTGTAGTTTGAAGCCATTGTTCCATTGCGGCCTAGTCTCCAGGGAAGCAGAAAACAAGCTTGCTCCCTCCTCCCTGTGGCTTCCTCTCACATATTTATACATGGCTATCATATCTCCTCTCAGCCTTCTCTTCTTCAGGCTAAACATGCCTCAGCTCCTTAAGCCGCTCCTCATAGGGCTTGTTCTCCAGACCCTTGATCATTTTAGTCACTCCCTCCTCTGGACACATTCCAGCTTGTCAATATCTCTCTTGAATTGTGGTGCCCAGAATTGGACACAATATTCCAGGTGTGGTCTAACCAAAGCGGAATAGAGGGGTAGCATGACTTCCCTAGATCTAGACACTGTGCTCCTATTGATGCAGGCCAAAATCCCATTGGCTTTTTTTGCCGCCACATCACATTGTTGGCTCATGTTTAAGTTGTCCACGAGGACTCCAAGATCTTTTTCACACGTACTGCTCTCGAGCCAGGCATTGTCCCCCATTCTATAGCTTTGCATTTCGTTTTTCCTGCCAAATGGAGTATGCATTGTGTTAGTTAAATGAAGTGCGACGGATAGAACCTTTGCACAGAGGGGTTGTCAATGGCACTTCAGCGGAGCCTGCAGTACCATGGATGAAATCGGACAGCGTAACAGGTTGTCACCGTCACCATCTTTATTCGCCCAACACATACAATAGTACTCGGCTCAAACACAATCCCATCACGGAGCATAATACTTGCATTCTCTGATGAATCTCCATTGGGGTGACACCTTCTGCTGTCAAGAATTCAATAACTGCACATTGCTTAAGTCGCATTGACCCACCTTCTGTGCAGGGTTCCATACTTTGCACTTTAACAACACAACCATTCAATGCTAAGGCTTCCTGCCAAAATGGAACTGTAGAGGAGAGTCTACTGAACAAGCCAGTACCTGCCACATACCAGGACTGCCATCTGTTGAGGAGTTACGAAGGTGGAGGCATAACTTCTCAACAGATGGCAGAACTGCTATGTGGCAGGTACTGGCTTGACCCCTAGGGGGGTCACGAGAGGGTGTCAGAGGGGTGGCCAAAGACCATCAGAAAACACAGTATTTTCTCTGGGCCATCTGGGTTACATGTGGAACCCAGATGACCCCCAGGTTGAGAAACACTGGTCTAGATTGAGGGAAGTCAACAGTCCCATTCTATTCAGACCTTCCCTGGAATAATCCTTGCACCTAGTTCTGGGCACCAAAACTCAAGAAGGATATTGATTGAGAAGCGACCTACTCCCAAAGTAATGTTTCCAAGCTCCTTAGGGCCAATTGGGCTTCTTTGCCTCTTCTGGCACTTTCTGTCCCCGAGTTGGAGGGGTGGGATGTTGGTGGCTCCAGATCTTGTCTAAATATTTTGCAGAAAGGCGCTGGGGAGGTGCGGAGGGAAGGGACAGGAAGCAGGAAGGAACAGACTCCCCAGGCGAGCGAGAAGCGGGCGGGCAGAGGAAAGAGAGGCAGCCCAGCTGTATTGTTAAGGCTGGGTTGTTCAAGGGAGGGTGGAGTGGCCAAGGAAAAGGAGAAAATAAGGTCTCCATGAGAATAGAGCCCAATGTGTTGTCGAAGGCTTTCATGGCCAGAATCTCTGGGTTGTTGTAGGTTTTTCGGGCTGTATGGCCATGTTCTAGAAGCATTCTCTCCTGACGTTTCACTTGCATCTATGGCAGGCGAGGTTGTGAGGTCTGTTGGAAACTAGGAAAATTGGGTTTATATATCTGTGGAAAGTCCAGGGTGGAAGAAAGAACTCTTGTCTGTTGGAGGTAGGTGTAAATATTTCAATTGGCCACCTTGATTAGCAGGTGAAACGTCAAGCACCTTTCAAAGTCTGGCTTTTTACTGTCTAGAGGAATTCTTTGTTGAGAGGTGATTAGCTGTCCCTGATTGTTTCTTGTCTGGA